TGTACGTGCTTTTTGTGGCCACCATTCATTTTTGTGCTAATAACCTTAAAATCTGACTTCTCTCTTCATATACGAAGGGGGCAGAAATATATTATTTATGTAATGCACAGAGGAAATTTTGAAATCAAGCTATCATATTTTTTTAACTAGTTTTGTTGAGCAGAACTAATTTTCCTCCAGTTTTGCAGGTGGCGGTTTTCATAGCGTTCCGTGTGCAGCCAGTTTCTCCCTGTCTGAGCAGTGAATCTTCCACATAGCTAGTGGGGAAAAGATAAATGCTTTCAAAATAGGAAAATTTGACTGAATGCTGGCAGGAGCTCAAAAGAAATTACATACTATCAAAAGCTTCTCTCAGTTCAGTTTTAAAACAAACCTAATGGAACTGTATCTCCTTCAAATGAAATTATTTGGTGATGCAGCTTCCTTTGGCTTGTGCTTACTTGCTTGTTGAAAGTGACTGGTATGAAAAAGTTTGAACATTTTTGTATTTTTGCCATGAATTCTGTGTTACTTTTGAAAACGTGTCACTCGAGCCACATCTGAAGTCTTTTCTTCCTCACTGTTGCAATTGATTCTGTGTTATCGTTCATTACAAAATAGCTTAAATCATTTAATGAAGAACTTTTTTTCTCCTGGCAACCCCTAGAGATCACAAGTGTGTTTCTAAGGGAGTCTAAACTCCCTCAGGTCAGGAGTGATTCAGGTTTTTGGTTGAGCCTTGGTTAAAGTCAGAGGCGGCAAATGTCTCACTAAACAGCTATACCAAAGTTAACTTGATTTTGCCAGTTCTTTAGACAAGCGGAGGGAAAAAGTAGTTGGTCTCAGTGGAGAACAGCAGAGCTGATATAACTGTTAGTCGTGGTGGAGCAGCAAGAAGCTTATTTCCAGGAATGGCTGTTGCACACAGCTGGGCAGAGGGAATGACAAAGTTCTGCATCTTCATGTAGAGTACTCCCCATGGCTGTCCAAAGACATATCCAGGAAACCTTATCTTGATCAAGAGTGTTCTGTTCTCTGTGGTTTATAAATGTTACATTTTATTTTTACTCTTCCAGAAACATCATTTGACTCACTGAAGAATTAAAACTGACAGCACCATAGAGTTGTGTGGGAGAAAAGGGGATTTTAGACTCAAGTGACACAATCAAGTCTTGAGAAGTAAAGAAACTTGGATGGCTTCTCCCCAAATGGAAGTGATCTAGAGAGCCCCCTGAGAACGCTGCATCTCTGAATCCAGCTCCTACTGCCTTGAGACGGTGCACTTGGACCTGGACATTAATAAAATGCTGGATTCAATCAAGTGTGTGCTGGTGGGAGACTCTGCAGTGGGGAAAACATCACTCTTGGTACGTTTCACCTCCGAGACTTTTCCAGATGCCTATAGACCGACCGTATATGAAAATACCGGAGTGGATGTCTTCATGGATGGTGTACAGATTAGTCTAGGTCTTTGGGACACGTCTGGCAGTGATGCCTTCAAAGGCATTCGTCCTCTCTCATACCAACAGGCAGATGTGGTGTTAATGTGCTACTCGGTGGCAAACCACAACTCCTTTCTAAACCTGAGGAATAAATGGATTGGCGAGATCCGCAACCACTTGCCCCGCATCCCTGTTTTGGTAGTGGCTACTCAGACTGACCAGCGAGATACAGGGCCCTATAGTTCCTCCTGCATCAGCCCGATGGATGGGAAGCGGCTCGCCCAGGATGTCCGGGCCAAAGGCTATTTGGAGTGCTCTGCCCTTAGCAACAGAGGAGTGCAGCAGGTGTTTGAATACGCGGTTCGCACGGCGGTCAATCAAGCCAAAAGACAGAACAGGCGGAAGTTCTTCTCCATTAATGAGTGCAAGATCTTTTGAGTCCTGTTAGCAGTGGTTTTTGCCCACGCTCGGTCTTTTTTTCTTTGCACAAAAATGCATGAGCAGAGATAGTGAAAAGCAAACTCCCAGCAGGATAGCAGTACAGGTGCCCCTAGTGAGACAGATAGATACTCTGTGTAATCTGCCTTTTTTTTTTTTCTTCTGTTTCGACGGGTACTATCTTTAAAAATGAAAGGTATAGGTAAACAGCCTTCTTCACAAATCTGTGTTTGGTCTTTGCTAGTCTGGACTGCCGCGGGCCTAGTCTGGAGATTTACAGATAATAGCTGTACTGATTTTGTTGTTGTCATTGATGTTCCTCAGATGTTGGTTTGTCTGTGTTTATTTAATGACTGAAACCTCTGCCCGGATCCAGCCCTTTTCTGACAAATCTGTCCGTGTGGAATTTTTGTACTCTAAGAACTTTGTACATAAAGTCTGACCACTGTGTATTCTATTTAAAAGACTTTTGTATATGTTGTTGTAAAATACTGACAGCGTTTGTTTTCATATGTTGGAAGTTCTTCCTTTAGCTAACCACAAAAGCAAATTGTCCTATCTATAAAATAATGGCCTGCAGGCAAGCCTAACATTCCTTACACCTGTCCGAGTTACTATACAATAGTAATCAAATCCAGTGTGTCCAGCACAGGAGTGATCAAAAAATGAGTGACATTTGATAGCTGTCCTGTGGCTTTCTGAGATTTATTTTGTTATCTTTGTCTCATTCTTAGCAGACTGGAGACTGTCTCAACAATACCATCAAAGATAGGATGAACTGGAAACTAACCTAATTTCTTCCTAAACTTAGAGTAGTTTCAACCCTAGAACGGTTGGCTTGCAGGCAGGGCTGGTTTAGATATAGGGGTGGGGTGATGGAGAGAAATCTGTGCTATCATCACCTCTGTTGCCCCTCTGGTATTTCTGTGGCAAAAGATTTTCATCTCCAGGGATGAAAGGCATTTTTTCAGGAGAACTAAAATGCTCAAAATGCTCACATATTTTTAGTATTTTTTTTTTCCAAAGAGTGGTTTTATTGAAACCAGTCCCTAAATATAATAGAAAATTAAGTGCATGGCAATGCTGAATGCACATATTTAGAATGGCTGAATAACTTTTTTTAGAATTTGCATACTGAGCATAATTACCTGGGTTGTATGAAACAAAGAGTGAAACAGGCTTTGCATCCTGGGGAGCCTGGCAAGTATAAGAGCCAAATCCTGAGGTACTTACTTGGGAGTTACTTTCCTGCAGAGAGCCAGTCTAAGGAGGTGGAAACTCCACATGTGCAAGAGAGCTCTGGTGGAAGGTGGGTGTGGGTTCAACACACAATGTCATAAATTCCTTGTGATTTGTAGTGTCCTCCTTCTCTTCAGGTTATCTGTGCAAAACCCTCCGCTCCGTGGCATCCCTCAGATCTTGCAAATCTGTCTCACCCCAGGGTTTCTGCTGCCCACAGCAGAAAACCCCCCGGGGGATTTCTTAGTGCAGCGAGATTTTTGTTCTCTCTTTCCCTGTCCTTTAGCTAGCTCAGAACTGGCCTTCAAGGGGTTTAGAGCATAGTGCCAGGAGAGGTGGCACGTAAAACAGTAGGATGAGTCTCTCTCCACATGGATCCCAAGAGAATGACCTCAGTTTTGACTGAGCCCTGACTCATGTTTTTCAACAGGAATGGATGCAATGGCTTACCCGATTCAAATCCAAGGTGGGACTTCAGGAATTAGTTACCTTATTTAGCAAATAAGCTATAGCTCAGATTTACCTACAGTTTCCTCCTGAAAAAGTGGTCAGGTGCTCTTCCCAGTGCTCTATTCAACCTCTGAGCTCCTTTATAAAGAGAAATTACAAATTAAATCAGTCTCCTCCTATGAAACCCAGAGACGGTCTGACTTGTGATATAGTATTTGCATTATGGCTGCCTTGAAGAACAACTGGGCACAAAATATCCACCATCTCCCAGGTTGGTGAATAGTGCTCATCAACCTTATTTCAAGGGAGACTTCCTGTTATTAAGTACACACTGGTCTCATGTGAAGCTTTTATACCAGCTTTACATCCTTACAAGCTTCTGCACCCTGAGAACCTGAGATGAGGGCTCCCATCACCACTCAGCCTTCCTGTGGTATTCTCTTTCCTGTCACTCTTTCTCCTTCTAAAACTTCAGGCATAGATTGCAAACCCTTTGCCCCCTGAAACACTAAAATTGATGATGTTTGTAAAAGAGCCTGACCTGCGTGATACTTACGTATAGTTACATAAGTGCCTAGGTATTTGTAGTCCTCACTTAAAAACTTTGTGACTTTTGGAACACACGTATTTCTACATCTCAACTCTTGCAATGTCTCTTCACTGATGGTTGTGTTTTTTGTAACCCTAACTTAAAAGTAGCCATTGTTACTGTTTGAACATTAAAGAACACATACAAAATATCGCATTGTATATTTTCAAATCTGTTATATTTTTAGAAATTTCTGTTATGGTCCCCATCCCACTAACTGATTTAATACCTGGTTTAGTCAGCTTGTTTTGAGATATATTTTTGCCACCACATTCCATTAAATAGCCTTTCTTTTTCTGTGGGCTAAGCTTTGTTTACAATAGTTCTTTTTTTTTTTTAATAATTTGAAGAGTTAGTAAGCGGTAGGCCAGGATGCTCTGCTGTGGTATCTGCTGTGGGATGCTGGCATTTAGTGACCAGAAAGCTGCAGAGTGGCTGCAGACAGTTGTATCAAAATCAGATGAAGATGTGTTCCAGAATTACAGCATAAGTGAAATTCCCATTTCATCCATATTTGTTTCATAAGGCTTGTTATGGTGTGTTACAAAATGAAGAAATGAAGCTTTGTTTGCAGTGAAGCAAAGCAGATAGGATTCCCAGAGATGTGTGAGTTGACAACCTGGGATGCATGGGGAATTTTGGGGTGTCTTGATATGCTCTTGACTGTGGGTCCTAAAATCAATTCAAGGTGTGAGGTCACTGGTTAAAAGCAGCCCGATTTTAATATAAAATCAGATAGAGATATGAAATGGATGAAGGGGATTTTGGTTGGGTGCTATATGGAAAAGCTGGTCTAATTTTCACTGTTTTGCTATTTACAAGCTCTCAAAGCTAGAAGGCCCATTTCATTGGGAATAAACGGTGAAATACATTATTTTAGTATCAGTAATTATATAACTTTCCCTGAGCTACACAAGGGACAAGCTCAAGAAGTGTGTCATCTCAAAGGCAGAGAGCGAAATCTGGACATAACAGAAATCAGTGGAAAATCCCTTTGGGTCTGAGTGGGGACCACAGAGTTTTCAGTATGCTGTAACATAACACTGGGTTTTATGGAGTGACTCAGACGCATAAAGCATCGTGTCCAGCACTGCGGTTTTGACCATATTCGGTGCCAGGTGCGTGGGGAGGAAAGGCACAAGTCAGCAGGTCCGCGCTACTCCGCTCCCGCCTCAGGTCTTGGCCTGGCCAAAGCCCTGAAATGTCAGGTTTAATACTCCTTCCAGAAATGCTGTCAGCATGAATTACATGGCTGCTCATGTCGTTTCGAGAGATATTACTCTTTTTTTTTTGAGTGATACAAGATGTTGGGCCACCTCCTGTTTATGCTTCATGTGGAAAGATACGAACTCTTACCAGTTTGGAATATACAAAATTTCAAGTGTCGTTTTGCGTCCACAGCGCGGCCTCAGCTGAACGGCTGTTTGGGGTGAGGATTGCACAGCGGCGACAGCACCGCGCGCCCGAGGGGAAACGCACGGCCCTCGGCGCGAGTGGCAGGGCAGCGCAGGGCAGGGACGGACCCCTCAGGCCTCCCGTAAAAACACATCAGGGTGGTTTTGCTAACGTTACTTGGGCAACAGGGTCCTCGGGTGCAGTTCTGTGATAAGAATCTGACTCTGATATTCAAAACAGATTCAAATGACAGCTGGGCAAAATTAGTTTCGACTTCTTTTGCTCTGAAAAACGGCATGTTCAGGGAGAATAAAACACCGTGCAACCTCAGGTCCGTTGGGGTGAATTGTTTCAGCTAGGAGAAGAAACTTTGCCCAAATGCTCCATTTCAGCCTTTGCAAACCAAACCATTTCAGTTTGTTTTTTGTTGCTATATTTACTTTGGCTCACTATTAAAACAGCTTAAAAGGAAAAAAAGAAAGAGAAAATATTTGAAACTTAAAATAAGAACATCAAAAGCACTATTGTTTTTGTCATCATTTGACTTCATTTTGACAGAAAAAATCATCTTGGGTTACTCATTTTTTCTTTTAATTATGCAAGTTGAATAAAAAGTTGGATGGAGATGCAGTTCTAATTAAGATCATGAACCACGCTTTCAGCAACAAAATAATTTTTTTTTTGGTAAGTTGGAAAATATGATGAGAAGACATTTTATTACTTTAAACACAGATTTCACTGCTTTTTCATACTTACTTCAGCCGTAGCATACAACATAAATCTTTTCTAAGAATAAGCAATAAAAATACATTTCAGATCTTTTTTTTCCCCCAGAATTTTCATGTGGGAAATCATTGAGGCATGATAGATATAATTAACATTATTTTGGCTATCTGATACTTGTAGTTTGCAACTGTTTGCATGACTTTTAACCACTTGTGCTTGCATCGCTCTGTTTGGCAAAGCTTTGTGGCGCAGTTGCTCGTGTTTTTGTGGTTACCTTCGCAACTTCCAGATGAAAGACTCTCTCCCCCTATCTCATGGCCAGGGATTTCTCCCAGGAAGGTGGCAGAACTCTGCAGCAGGCAGCAACACGCGGCGGGCGGCAGAAACAGGGAACGAGCCAAGGCAATTGCTCTATCTAGAGAGCAGGGCACGTGTCCCCCCCGCGTTGCACTCTCAGCCCCGGTTCCCTATCTGCCTACCAGGGGCCCTCCCGGAGCACGCAGTGAGGCCTTCCTGCTCCATATACCTGTGTTTCCCTTTTACAGCACCCGGGGGAAAGAAGGACTGAAGGGGAATAGTGTGCATTTTATCATCCCCCTCCCTTTCAGGGGGGCATTGGAGCATAGTCAGAAACAGAAAATGGTCCCAGGATGCACTGTTTGGCCATACAGCCCCCTGAAATAAAACATTCAGCCGTGCCCAAGCACGCACCCCCATTCAGGAAGGATGCTGTGTTGGAAGAGGATAGCATTTTCAAAATTACCTGTGTCACTTGGACCCAAAATAATGCGCATTAGGTCCCTTTTACAGCATTTTGAGAAAAACAGTACCTTGAGATGCTCTGAAAATTTGATCACAGGTGCCCAGTAACTTGCCCTATGTGAACACTGCAACTGCTGAGAGTGTTTCAACACATGCTACCTAATGCTTGTGTCAATACAGAAAATGCATTTAAAGCAGTCTTTTTATACATGGCCCCGTAATGAAGTAAATCACCACAGGGATCAGACACAAGATAAAAAAAAAAAATCGTCATTCTCAGGTCGCAGCCTCTCCTGCATTACTATTCCACCAGAGTGAATGCAGCCATTAAAGAAATTTCGAATGAATGGTGCAATTTATACCCCTCAACACCTTCTCTTAATACCTCCTCTTCACAGAGCTCAGGTTAATATACAGCCAAGAAAATCTTCATTTCAGAATATCACAAAGGCTTGCCCATTCTTGCCCTCTGAGTTAATTAAAAATCAGTTTAACCCCTGAAAACCCCTGTGCCAGATATAGGCACAATCAGTTTAGAAAAAAGTCTGAAAACAGAAAATAATCTTGTTAGAAAACAGTCTGAAGCTACTGCAATAAACTTTTATCTCTTGATGTGAGGAAAAACATCTTATGCCTCGGAGATTTCCTTCATAGCCCTAAGCAAAACCCTGTGACTAGTTATCACCCTTGTAGCTGACCTCCTGCAGCTCCTTCGTGTCGTGCTCTAAAAACAAAATTTGCCGAGAAAACAACGTTTTGGCTTATGCTTACATTGCTTTCGCCGCTTAACCATAGTGACGATGGCCTTTTCCCTCTCCCTGCACCGCTCGCTTCCTCGCGGCACAAAGGCACAGCTGCTGTTTGCTGGTGTCGGTGGTGCTGCCGGGGACGGCCTGGCCGAACCGTCCGAGCGCCCTGCACCGCCACCGGTGCCGCCCCGCGGCGCAGCGCCCTGCTGACGCACCTCTGCCAGCGCACCTGGTCCTCGTCCTGCCCCAGCTACGCTTCTGTCACCTGAAGGTGCCCTGGCACTAACAGGTGTGCGGGTTTTTTGCTTCTGTTTTTCTTTTGGGGTGCCGTTTTCAAAATCAGCATCTCATTAACTCACGAGCCGAGCCTGGCTCTTGCACACGCTGCCGCGCCGGTAGCACAGGCTGGAGAGCGCCTCTGCAGAGCATCAAACCGCCGGGGCAAAATCTCCCCTTCTCCTTACGGAGTGCAAGGGAACCAGCCTCCAGCCTTGCACTGATCGGCTTTACAAATGTCAGCTGAAAGACCCTTCCATTAATTATCAGCAAATGAAATAATAGCCGTTGCGGCCTTCCTAGCCGTGAAAAGTGAATGAATACGTCTGTCTTACGTCTTGCAGAAATGACCTACATAAGGCACGCTGGGGGGATTTCTGTCATTATTTTTCTCACCTTGGGCAGAAGTCAGTATGATTCATGCAGAGGCGCAGAAGGGCACAAGTGTGTGTATGCTGGTGGTTGTTTCTGTCTCTGGAAAAGAGGAAGGAAACGGTGGCCGATGCCTCTGCACGGGGCGAGGTGCTCACTTGCTCGCACGCGCAGCATTTCCAAGAAGCCGGCCGCGCGCAGTGCCGCGGCGGCGCGGGGCCTCTGCCCCGGCTCCCGACGGGCATGCCGGCAGCGCGAGGGGCGGGAGGCCAGCAGGCTGGAGACCAGGTGTTTCCCCCACTGGGCTGCCGCCCTCAAGACCTCCGTCTCCGTCCAAGGAGGGTGAGATTTTTTTGAAAGAGCAGGCTGCTGCTCCGAAAACCAAGCTCCCTTTGCAAACGCTGGCTACCCCGAATGCGGCTGAGTGTGTCTGCTAATGGCAGGCAGGGCTGCGGTAGCTGGAGGAGGGTGTCCAGCCCCGGCTGCAAGGGGAGCTGCCTCTGAGCCCGTATCTACCACCATGAGACCAGATCTGCTGCTTAAAAGCCAGTATCGGAGCCATCCTGCCGGGAATGGTGCAGTGCTCATACAGCACGCTTTTGAGTAAGGGTTAAAGGTCACAAGATTTTGTAGGAAGCTGGTTTAGGATTTCTAATGGCTCTTGGGCATTAACATATTTATTTTATTTTGTAGTAATTGTGTAGTATGTGACATTTGTAGTGGTATCTGATCCAGCACAGAGTTATTGTCCTACTAAACCAGAGCTACAGCATCGTCTAATGAACAGGAGATTGGATCAGGCAAGGAATTTTTGCTATTTAATCCC